GTATCATCATCATAGACATTTCTATTCTGTATTGACAGGCACAAAAGAACGAATTTCTCAAAGCCGACATGCTCAAGAACTTTAAATCTACTACAGTAAGTATCGTTATTCCTATCACACAATTATGATCAAAACTTCCATAAAATTAACATTATTTTCACTTTGTTTACTAAGGACACATTTGAGTCAATCTTTAATGAAGAAAGACATAACCAGTTGGTCACAAGAGGTAAATAATCTCCACTCCTATCAGCGCTGCTAAAATTGCAAAAAATTCTTTTCATTCCAAATGTATGGGTAATGATATTATCTGGTTATAAGCACATGACGGGCAGTGTTTACTCATAGCTGAAGGCTAAAAACAAGATTTATTCACCTGACAGGTCGAAAAGAATAGAAGTATCGTATGGCAATGTTCCATGAAGGAATGTTTCGACAGTCAGATTGATTGAATTTTCTTCCCAATATTCACAGGCGAGAGAAGATTTTGTTATAAAGCTTTTCAAGGAGCAATGATGATCTACTTTTATCGGTAAGTTAGAAGATGTCTTCGTGTTTTCTTGCTCCATGCAGCATTCAAATGTCATTTGGTTTTTACAGTGATCAGCCTCGCTTCCACCAGCCATTTCAGATCCTACAGCTTCTCATTGACATTGATTCTCTGATTATCAAGTGGCGATGTAAGTATAGTACTCGTTCAAGTATTATTATATCATGTTTAAATAGTGCTTGTAATCAGGGCCGGACAAGTCAAAAATAAGCACAGAAGAAAAAGTCATTATCATCATGCTAGCGTGCTTGGAGGGGAGGGCAACAGTTCTTATCTTTTATCTAAATCTCTATCCCCTTCGCCCGGCATTTTGTAACCAGTCCAGCTATGCATAGCTGAAGTGGACGGAAAAATTACTACACTAAAGTGACTGTGATGAAAGTTTATAGACATACATCAGTAATATATGATCCTGAAATATGCAAAAAAAAAACGTTCTCTTCAAACGATTAAGTTTTCGTCAAAAATAGTATTGTGGTAACAGCATAAAATAAGGTAGAAACGGTAACGATAACTGGTAACAATCTCCCAGATCCCCAGACTCCTTTACCCATTCTTGATCCTCGAGGTTGCGTTCTCTTCATCGGTAGGCTTCGCTTTATTAATATTGCTTCTAATAATTTTTCAACTTTTTTAGACAACCATTTGATGTTAGTCCAGCGCACAATCGGAACCAAAGCTGGTACTGGCGGCAGCTCAGGATATCAGTATCTCAGATCAACAATCAGGTATGATGTTGACTAGGAAATGCCAAGGGGCCAAGAGCTGAGCCTTGTGGCACGCCTCACCCAACTAACCAATCTTTATAATTTCTTTCCCTTTGAAGTCCGTGGTTTCACACAAAAACTACAGTTTTTATTTCCATGATTCGAACAAGAGTTTTTTTTGTTGCACATTGCAATATCAAACCCCTTTTATTTTTATAGTGACCGGTACAAAGTGTTTATTGACCTTTTCCATTTGTCCAACTTCTTGGTTCCTCGTGAATATATACCGCACCTCACCCGAGACATGAAGACCGTTCTTCGTCAGGTCCATAACCACGGCGAGAGTGACAGCGCTCATTATAGCGACAGTGAAAACGAAGAGCTCGGTTTGACAGGTCTTGCTTGACAGTGCAAACATCTCCTCTGAGAAAGGGAAAAGTCGTGTGGAAAATGCTGAAGTTGGGTCAAAAACATAGCTGTACTCGACAGCAATCTTATCTTGCTTCTTATAGATGACATTGATAACCTTTAACTTTAAAAATAATCTAATTGATGGGTCCCCTGTACTGCTACTCTCCCCTCCCCTCCATCTGAGAGGACAATACAACAATGCACAAGGACACGAGTAAAATTAGTCCTACAAAAGCTAGTAAATACATTGCCGAAAGATCAACTTAGCATAAGTGAACCTGTCATTATTAATCGCCTGGTTTTTAGACAACTGGATTGGAGATTGCCTAAAAATCCCGGGGAGGGGGGGGGGGGTACTATCACCGCAACTTGGGTAGGGGTGTGCCGTCAGGACCTCAAAACCCTGACCCTATCCCAGACCTAAAATTTTGATTTTACATACCATTCCCCAGACTAAAACTAAGAATTGAACACCCTATCCTAGACTAAAAGACGGTTATTCAATAGATTGCAATTAATATTTACTAGCGTTTTTGTTTTTGTGACGGCAGAAAGCGTAGCCTATTCGCCAAGCAAAAACGACCAAATCGTTAACCCTATCCCAGACTAAAACGACCAAATCGTAACCCTATCCCAGACAAAAATGATACCCTATCCAAGACCAAATGTCAAAAAATGATACCCTACCCCAGACCCAAAAGCCGAAAGGGCGGCACAWAAWCGTAWARMAAAWAWAGGGGRGKCCCCCCCCCCCCCCCCCCCGGGTTAAAAATTGACAGATTTTGAAGAAGAGGGTCACTCAGTAGCAGACAGGGGATGATAAAAAAATATCGTGCCTCTAGGGGGATCAGTTAATTTTTATGTTGCCGCGAATATTCTTAAGTTTCCTGTTCGAAAATAAACTCTTTCGAGCGATAGTTAATGTTTAGGTTAATTCAAAAGAAGTTTGTCAAAAAGGAACTACGAGTAGATCTGTTAAGTCTAACACAAGTCTCGGTTACAAAATCAATGATAAAATCAATGCAGTAAGACGAGTGCAGTAATTTTTATTCCTAAAATTTTGTTCCCTAACAAAACGATAAAGATTTAATCTGGGCTAATCTAGGCACTCAGATTGAGAGGCAAATTCTTGTTTGACAAAGAAATGAATTGCAGAAAAACATTACATAATCATGTTACATATTTGAAACCGCATCAATCAGGAAAGGTTGGCGCGAAGTCTGTGATGTACAAATCAGATATTTTTATTTTTATTTGATCTAATATTTGATTGAATAAACTAGTTTAGCATAAATAAATACTATTAATTTCAAATGTTTGAACTTCCAGACTTGATAAAACTTAAAAATAAACCTCAAAATAAACGACAGAGGGTTACGTAAGAGGGTATTACCTTAACAATTTTGTCATATTTTTAACATACCACAGTCAAGGATCAAACAGCAAAGTTCAAACTGAGAAAGAAACTTGTACCGACTTTCTCAAACCTGCATCTTTCCTTGGTTCATTAAATATAATTGACCGAAAGTAAACTTGTGAGACGGCGAGCATGTTCATTGCTAGGCATCGAACACTGAAACTCCAGCTCCTGATATTGATGGTTTTCAACCATTCCCAAGAGAATTAAATAACAAAGAACACGGCGTCCATGTTGGAGGATATAACAAAAGAATTCATTGACAATTCTTTTGTTAAGTTCCTCCAACATAGCCGCCGTGAAAACCATTAATAAATAGCTATTCTTTGGATAAGGAATCGTGTTTGTATCCCGGGGTTTGTWCGCAATTTCGCTTAACAGATGATCGTTTAGACGATTGATAAACTCTAAATCGTTGATCTGCTAACATAGTGATCGAGTGATCGAAGAGATACAGAGAAGTGGCGAGAGATGTGCAGGAAGCATATAAATAATTGAAGAAGCTGAGAAAACGCACGCGCGTGCTGTGCTCTCATGAAGCACGCGCTCCCAACTAATCAGAACGCGCGATTTATGTGCAGTAACGCAGCATGGATAGACTCGAACCGGTGTAAACATTTTCTGACTAAATCGAGAAGGCACAGTGAAATTGAAAATGAAGACTTTATTTTTTAAATTGATAATCAGCCCCGCAATGCTTAGGTTATTTGAAGGTAATAGAGAGTTTTAGATTTACGTTAACGGCAAACGTGAAACGTCAGTTGACCAGTAAAAAATTCTTTTAAATTACTGAAAAAGAATCGCAAAAAAGTCCAAGTAGTAGAATAAAAAAAGAATATTTGCGCTTGGTGAGAAGGTTTGTAAACGGTCAAGTAAAATACAGGAAAACTATGAAAATTTGCTCACGTTTGCCGTTTGCGGGGAGGAAAAAAAGTCAATCTAAAACTGTCTAATAATTTCTTTTTCGTGGAACTTATCCTCGACATTATTCAGCAAATTGCCGTGTGTACACGTTCGAGGGTATCGATCGATGTTGCCTTACTTCACATTTCTTTATGTGCTTTACGAGCCACAAGCTTCTCTGTAGCTCTTTGGTCCGTGTACCTTCCGGCCATTTGATTTTTAAAAATAAGAAAATTGAATTTCGTTCACCAATTTTTTTGATTTTGTTGTTTTGAGAGTAAGAAA